TTTACATTTAGATTAACTAAAATCAGGGTGCCTGGCTGGCTCAGTTGGAAGAGCATGGGACTCTTAATCTAGGGGTCATGAGTTCAAGCCCCACACTGGGTGTAGACATTACTTAAAAGAATAAATAAATTAAAACTTAAAAAATAATAATTAGCTAAAATCAAAATTTTAAATTCAGTTCTTCAGTCACACAACCACATTTCAGGTGCTTGGTAGCCATATGTGTTTAGAGGCTACCATACTAGATGGCACAGAATAGAACATTTCATCATTGCAGAAAGTTCTATTGGATAGCACTGGATTAGAATGATGTTTAGTTTTGTTTTTAACTAATACTTTTTTTTTTAAGCTTATATATTTTTGAGAGAGACAGAGAGACCATGAGTGGGGGAGGGGCAGAGAGAGAAGGAGAGAGAATCCCAAGCAGGCTCCCCGCTCAGCACAGAGCCTGATGTGGGGCTCAATTCCACAACCGTGAGATTGTGACCTGAGCTGAAATTAGGAGTTGGATGCTCAACCACCTGAGCCACCCAGGCACTGCTGGACTAGAATGATCTTAACGATTCTCCTTGTAACTTTAACTTTCTCTGAGGGCGGCGATGATCGAAGTGACAGTGGGTGGGGCACATTTTGGGATCTAGAGGCTGGGAGTGGACACCATCTGTAAATCAGGACTCTGGAAGAGGGGGTGGGGTGAAAGACGGGCTGGGGATGTGCTGGGATGCTCTCACTCAGAGCTTCTCACTCTGGCATTCCCCTGCTCCCCACCTTAGGCAAAGTGCGACATGTGCTGAGCTTGGATGGCTTCCTCAGCTACCTCTGCTCGAAGGATGGAGATGTCTTCAACCCAGCCTGCCTCCCCATCTACCAGGATATGACTCAACCCCTGAACCACTATTATATCAACTCCTCTCACAACACCTACCTAGTGGGGGACCAGCTTTGTGGCCAGAGCAGTGTCGAAGGATATATACGGTGCAGCGGGAAGGGCTCCAGCTCATGAGAAGGGGCCATCTGTGCTCTCAGTAGCTAACAGGGATTGAGAAGATGTCCTGGGGGGGCTTGGGGCTGAGGATCCCTGGATCCCTGGGAGACTTGAAGGACATGTTGAAGACTGACAGGAGACTAGTATTGAAACTCTATGGGTATATAGAGCTGCTTTCTCTTTCATAGGCTATGAAACGCTCCTGGAACCCAGAGGTCCTGACAGGTTTATTTTGAACAAATAAAGTAAATGTTACACAATAAGCAGTAGTGCATAGAAGTTGGAAACGTATGTTCTGGAGTCGGACCATTTGAGGTCAAATCCTAGCTCTCTCAGAGCTTGGTACTCTGGTTCTAAGTACTTAACCCCTCTGTACTTCAGTTTCCCCTTCTATGAAATATGGATGAAAACAATGCCTATTCTGTCTGAGTTGTGAGGACTTTTTAAAATGTTTATTTATTTGTTTTTGAGTGGGGCAGGGGAAGGGCAGAGAGAAGGAGACAGAGAATCCCAAGCATGCTCCACATTGTCACCACAGACCCCAATGTGGGGCTCGATCTCACGAACCTCAGATTATGCATGACATGAGCTGAAATCAAGAGTTGGACACTTAACCGACTGAGCCACTGAGGCTCCCCCTGAGTTGTGAGGATTAAATGAGATAATCCATGTGTTAATAGCTAATAAGTGGTATCTGCTTTTATTGTGATTATCTGTGGCTAGATTGAAGAGTCGAGATATCTTGACTTACAGTGCCAGCAACTGAACTAGCAGCTTCAGGGTATACAAAGATTAGTGAAATATATTGTTTCTGCCCCAGGACATTCAGTAGAGAACATAAAGTATAAATTTACTGAGAATTTGAGGGGTGCTTGGCTGGCACAGTTGGTAGAACATGCAACTCTTGATCTTGGGGTGGTGAGTTCAAGCCCTATGTTGCGCATAGAGCTTACTTTAAAAACAAACAAATAGGGGCGCCTGGGTGGCTCAGTTGGGTTAAACATCCGACTTTGGCTGACATCATGACCTCGCAGTTTGTGAGTTCCAGCCCCACATCAGTCTCTGTGCTGACAGCTCAGAG